TTTCATTTTTCCACTGCCTAAATAGCCAGTCTGGTGTCCTGGTTAAGACATCAGGCTAGAAGATTATGAGTTCTAATCCTGCCTAGGCACAAAGTCAGCCAGGTGACCTTGGGCCAATCACTCTCTCTCAGCCCTAGGAAGGAGGCAAGGGCAAACTATTTCTGAACAACCTTGCCAAGAAAACTGCAGGGACTTGTCCAGGCAGTCTCTGAGAATTGGACACAACTGAACAGAATAATAATAAAAAAAGATATATATCAGATGCATTTGAACCAGAGACACCATTTTGAACTGCAAATGGAACAAATTAGTTCTCGTGTGTGTCTTCATTCAGGAAATGGAAGCAAGCAGATTCAAGACAAAGTTTTGCTAACTCAATGGCAGAGAATATATTTTCTCAGAACTGGTATCAGGAATATCTCTCCTGTTTGCTCCCCCAAGACATTACAAAGTAGGTTCATTCACTGTGTTAAATCTTGATGAACCATGGCTTGAGAATCAACTCCAAATTGGCAGGGTTCACACATCCCACCCTGCCAGAATGAAAGAAGCCACAGTCAATGGGATGCCACTGAAGTGATTCACCATTTCACGCTGCATGTGTCATCTCAGAAAGCAATTTAAATACCTTTTGAAACACAGACTAGTGATTATTAGTATTGTCAACCTGCAACAATCAGAGCAGTGTCTTTACGAGAGTATAGCCTACCAGAGGCATGGTTATCTTTGGCCATAATATTAAGAACATGCTCTGGTCTTTGCAGGCCTAGGAAGAGCAAAAGTTGGGTTGGAGCCAGCGGTAAAGAAGTGGGGCCTCCGTAATTGTTGCAACAGCCCTGTAAGGTGGGAATTCCGGGGAGGATGTGTGTGCAGGAAGGCAAATTACTGCCTCTCCTTGTGCCTCCTGCTGCCCAGGCTGGCTAGTACAATGTGGGATATAGACTTGGGGACTTAAGGCTCTACTCTCACCTTGATTATTGCAGTTGTGGAATGAATGAGACCAAGCAGTGCAGCTCAAAATTTCCTGAACTCCAACAAACTTTTCCTTTTTTAAAAAGCAAAGACTGGATAGGATCAGTCAAACACCACCATTGGTACCCCCCATCCGGCAAGCATATTATTGCCAAGAGGAAACAAATACACCCTTCTGTGGAACAGTTATCTATTTGGTGAACTTACCCTTGGCTGGAAAATGGGGCAGGGGAAAGAGGGGAGCAGAATGACATAGCAAATGCCAAGTGGGGAGGAAGATCAGAGGAAGACTCCAAGAAGCAACAGGATTAAAGGAAGGGCGGCGTTTTAGCTCTTAGCCACTCTGTTCTTCTGGGGTGGGGGGTGTTCTTTGGCTTCTGGATCTATCCACAGTCAAGGACTGCCCATTCGCTCCCATCCAGAGACTAATCAGGCTTGACCCTGCTTAGCTTCCCAGCCCAGAAGCCAGCCTTTAATTTATGGCTCTTGTTCTCCTTCTCCCCCGCCCCTCTTCTCCTCCTTCCCCCCCTTTTTCCGCCTCACACCCCACCCCGCAGCCCCAACTGTCCACTTCAGCCTTTCTCTCGCCCTCCTACCTGCTCTCTCCTGGATCCGGCCCGCCTCGCCAGGTGCGCCTGCGCGGGCAGGTGACGGGGGGGCGGGAGGGCAGCTGCGGGCGCACGGCGACGGAGCCAGGGCGGAGGCGGAAGGGTCCGGCCGGGCATCAGCCAAGGGAGGCAGCGGTAAGGACGGGGGGGAGCGCCCCCCGAGGCGCTCAGGCGCGCAGGCAACGCGAGCGCGGACCCAAAGCCCGACGCTGGTTGGCGGCAGCGCAGCGCAGCGCCGCTCGGCGGGGATCGCGCCTGCCCAGACGGCTCGCAGCGCCAGCGTCCTG